ACATCATTGCAGTTGAATTTGTAAGTCTAAAAGTATGAATTTCAACTATTACCTGTACAAATAATATTACGAAAATAACCCATTAGTGGGGGGAGCAAAATTATTTATAAAAAAATATAAAAAAAATTATAATTATAATAATCAATATTTATAATATTTTTATATTTATTTGTAAATATTTTACACTGACATAATGTCAGTGTAATTTTCCCTTCTTATTATACCTACAATTAGTAGTACAATGATGCAATTTTTTTTGTAAAGTAAAATTTCATAATTAATAAATGAAAGTTAAAAGCATCTTGCTTTTCAATGATCAATTTTTTTTGGTTTATTTAATAATTTTTAGTTTATAATAAATAATCGGAATAAGAATGCAATAAACACTTTGATATGGATATCATGGTTAGTAGAGGCCGATCTTTGATCGGGCGAGCGGGGGTGCTCACGAAGTGACCTTCCCCAATCGTACCCAAGCTCCTGAGCCGAGGCAACTTTGGTGATGACGGACACGTGGCCTTAGGCAAACGAGTCAGGGTTTCCTAAATTTTTCCAAAATAAAATATTTAGGTAGTGACTCTGTATCTGGCAAAGCAGTCCATGTTTGGCACTTATTTCAAAATCTGTTTTCTCAAAACGATTTGCCGGATTTGGACTTTTTGGTTCAGATTGAGAACCGTGACAATTTTAGAGTCCTGAACTGTAGTGAGCCCAATATCGAACGGAACAGGGGACTCGTTCCTCCCGGGGGCGTTCGGGGACGTTTACAGTGTGCAATAGTGTGAACAAAAATCACTTTAGGTCACACATACACACACAAATGATAGAGATAGGGAGATATAGAGATAGAGAGAGATACAACTTTTTCTAACCATAATTTCAGAACCCCTGAGAAGGGAGGAAGGCCTCCACTCCTATAGAAATCCAATTTGCAAAGCTTCTTGGAGAAGCTAAGAAAAGGGCAAATCCCTCTATACACGTGTATGGAGGGGGTTAATTGTGGATGCCAGCTGTGCTGGCTGGCACAAAATATCTGCATCAAACAGATGAAAAGGATTCGGCCACCAAATATGGCCGATTGACCAACATGAGGGGCCGACGACCAAAATAAGTGCCGACCGGCGAACACTTTTGGCCGATGGAAAGAAAACAGGGCCGATGGCTTCAAGCCTTGGCTGGTGGGTTGAGGGTATGGCAAACAAGCCACCCTCTTCCCTTAGAAGCAAAAACACAAGTGTTTGGTCCACAACCAAGTACAAAATAGACAAGTTGAGAGATCTTGAGGCAAGGCGCGTAGCCGAGACCTCCGAGAACTCAAAACGAATACGAGCATGGATAACCATTGAATGTTCAAACGATGACGTCCAAGTCTTGAGGACGGTCAAACATGGGGTGTCCACACCTAAGATTTTAGGTCAGTTTTGGGCCTTCATCCTAATCTCTGAACGCTCATCTTGACTAAATGATCCTACAAGTTTCCAGTGCGGTCACTGCCCCTTGGCAGGACCACAAACTCGTTTTAGCTCGGCCCAATGGCATTTTTAGATCTAAACGTGGGATTTTGTTCAGTTCTATCCAGAACTTGTCCTGTTCATCATATATACGAAGTTCATACGCTGAAACTATGGAGAATGAGGGGCACGATGGCCTCATCCATGTTTTTAGTTCCAGTTTGCCTAATTTCTACAAATGCCTATCGATTTTACCCCATGAAAGGGGCATTGACAGTGCTTAAATAGTCCCGAATAAGGGAAAATGGAAGAACATGAAGAACAACAATAGAAAAAGGATAAGAATGGGAAAGACTTACAGATTTGGGTGCCAAATCAAGACCCAATCAGCCGTCGTTGCTATGATGTTCATGAAGATAGGAAAATGCTGAAGACGGCTCGAACGAAAGCAACGACGGCGACAACTATGGAAATAGGAGCTCAAGAGTTTAGGGTGGTTTGGCACGAAAGAAGAAGATGAACAGTGAAGGGGCTGTGGGGGCATAAATGGCCTATTTATGGGGGAAAGCTCAAAAGTCGGTAACTTTTCAAATTTTGGCATGACGATGACAACTATAGAGACTGCACGGAGCCTTTGGGGAAGCCCCACCTAGCTTGGAGGTGACTGACTGTCAGTACGACTGATGGGTTGTCAGCACAGCTGATTGATTGATGGTGAGACAACCGGCGCAAGTCTCGAAGATCGACTAGAATGGGACAATTTGACTGAAAATGGTAATCCCAATCACGCTCAGCTCGGATGGGATTAAGGGACAATTGAGAGGGAGATTGCGCCGAACAGTGGGTCGGGCTGCACCGGCATGGAATGTGGTGTTGGGCCGCGTAAAGGGAACCTGGAGTGCACTGTTTGGTCGAACTAGGTTCGCACTGAATGTATTGCCAAACCAGACTAAGGTTACCTGAGATGCATTGAACCGAGCTAGATCGGCGCAACGTCTGGTACATAAGATCGTGGTCAGTAACCGAGATGTCGTGCGGCCTGCTCACCTTCGGTCGGTTCTGATAGACCGGTCTGGTTAAGCTCGGCATTGAGTTGTCCAACGTAGTTTTTAGCTTACCAAGTAATAGCTCGGTTCGACATTCCACGTGGTCTAATGACGAGAAGAGGAAAATCCACTCCTGGTATGTGTTAATACCATTTGGCGGTGCGATAAACAATGTTTGGAGGTTTTGGTCTCTACATGTGTAAGAAATGTAGAGGGGAGCATAGCTGCCTGCCCAGAGAAGGACAGTAGAGGTAGTGCGTCCATAATCTCTTAGACTGTATGGCTAGCCTTGAAAAGGAGGAACATGCAGACGTTAGAGGTAAGTAACCAAAAAGAATTTCCAACTCTCTCTCTCTCTCTACAGCGCTCTTTGCCTCCTCTCTTCTCTCAGAAAGCTAACTTGACCGTCAGAGGGGTTTTCTGGCAAACCCACCCACCGGGTAGTTCACCTTTGTTCTGTTCACAGTGTTGTGGAGTTCCACGGACTAAAGCGAGCTTGGTAGCAAGGAAGTACGGAGCGAGGTGAATATTTCTCTTCCGTACAAAAAGAAAAAAAAGATAGAAGAAAAAGAAGAATAAGAGATAAATAGAATATATTATTCATCGTTTCAAAACACTTACTAATTTCAATTCCTTTTAAAATTTGCTACCTCTCACTTTTGATGCTAAATAATGTCCCAGATCACTCAGCAAAATTTATACTATTATATAAACGGAGAAATTACAGCTCAGTGGAATTATCAAAAATTAAAACTAATTGATGGAAAAGTTTACCATTTTGTATTTAATGTTTGTAAAATAGAAAGTTTTTCTCATACATAAAATTATACAAAAAAAACTTAACAAGAATGATGTGGTAATAACATTATTATAAATAAATTTATTTTCAATGATATTTTATTTTAAAGTGAAAAGTTTATAAAAAGTCACATTATTATGTATAAATTTTTTACTTGTATGACATTATTAATCTATAAATATGTTTTTAAACATGGGATGTAATTTTCCCTATATGAAACCTTTGTTTTGGGTGAATAACCCTATATGAAACCTACTCTTGATTTGATATAAATTTGTCACATTTTGGTTTTTTAAAAATGCCTACAATTTAATTTTTGAAATAGATGACATAGATGCTTTTATTAGTACTTTGTTCTTGTAACAATTCAAGTGGGAGAGAGACAGCTTCAAACCTAGTACTTGTCTTATCCTATACCCCTGTTTAATATGTATTATTTTATCAAGAAATTATATATATATATATATATATATGGTTTTATACATAACGTAAGTATTACGTTCTTCTAATACAATAAGACATACACGTAAATAAAATTAAAAAAAAAAAAGAGTTCGTCATTATTATGATTAATTTATTATGCAGAATTATTAACTATATAACTGTCTTGATGTATACATGAATATGTAGTTCTTTCTTTTTTATTATTTTTAAAATTATTCTTCAATTTGGCATATTATGTGTCCTCTTATTCTTGTATCCCAGGAGAAAAAAAACTATCTTTTGATAGGGGCAAATGAAGAATTAAAAAAAAAAAAAACTCAAAAAAATAAGTTATCCTTGTGGGCCAACCACTGGACTGACTCATTAACAAGTTTAGGCTAAGCCTGTTGGACAGGGATTGGGCCCAAGCTTTTGACATGAGTGTTAGCTTGTCAAATGGGCCCAACTCGGTCACCATTTTTGCGGCCTGTGCTGGGTCGACCCGATTCTAACACTTGTGTACCTAAGAGCATCTCCAACCGTTCATTACTATTTTCACCAAATCTGAGTAAAAAATAGATGATTTTCTCAATTTGATACGGTTTGCTCCAACGGTGTGAACCAAAGGAGGAGGGTCATCTGGTGGGTCGACTGGGAAGGCTATAATTTATTTTATTTTTTTTTGGTTTCCCTCCCTTTTTGTTCCCAATTCTTTTACTATTTCTTTTTCCCTCCATTACATATTTTTTGTTTTTGTTTACCTCCAACAATGATTTCCTTCTACAATCTGATATAAACACATTTTATCCATATGCCAGACAAGTCCAGACAACTGATACGATCATAGCTGAAAGAAAACAGAGCATAATGAATACCTTAAAATCTATGATGTTCACTTCATTTTCATTCTCTTCTTCTTCCTCCTCCTCTGATGATGAGTTTGATGATGAATATATGGTCACACTTTTGGGGGCTTATGAGATGAATAATGTTAGTATGCTTCAGATTCTTAAGTCAAGTGATAAAAGAAAATAGGTGGTTCTGTTGTAGGCCATAAGTATATGCGCAGAGATAGAAGGCAAGGTCATGAGAGATTGTTTGCAGATTATTTTACGGCAAATCCAGTGTATTCACCTATAATATTTCGAAGACGTTTTCGAATGCATCGTCCTTTGTATCTGCGAATTTTGAATGCAATCCAAGCACACAATTCATATTTTGTTCAAAAAGAAGATGCAGCTCATATAGTTGAATTATCTCCTCTACAAAAAATGACTTCAGCTATGAGAATATTATCATATGGAATGGCAGCAGATGCAGTTGATGATTATATACGTATCGGGGAAAGCATTGCAATTCAAAGTTTGCAACAATTTTGTAATTCAGTGATTGAAATCTTCGAACCAGAATATCTGAGATCCCCAACACCAACTGATATTGCTAGATTACTTGCTATTGGGGAGGTTTGGGGGTTTTCGGGTATGTTGGGAAGTTTAGATTGCATGCATTGGGAGTGGAAAAATTGTCCAAAGGCATGGCAAGGTCAATACGTAGGCCATAAAAAAAAGTCAACCATTATTCTTGAAGCAGTAGCATCTTATGACTTATGGATTTGGTATGCATTTTTTGGAATGCCTGGCTCACACAATGACTTGAATGTGTTGGACCGATCGCCTTTGTTTTCTGATCTTGCTTATGGTAAAGCTCCCCTTGTCCTTTACACTATTAATGGACATAGTTACAATATGAGTTATTACCTTGCTGATGGTATATACCTCAATGGGTAACACTGGTTCAAACAATTTCTTCTCTCCAACGAGCAAAGAAACAACATTTTGCAATGATGCAAGTGTTTGCAAGGAAAGATGTAGAGCGGGCATTCGGAGTGCTTCAATCTCGATTCGCAATTATAGGTGGTGCTGTACGTTTTTGGGATCCGAAAATGCTTGCCAACATAATAAAGAGTTGCATTATATTACATAATATGATTGTCGAAGATGAGAGGGATGAGCACCTTGATTTCGATTATGAACTTTCATTAACCAACGGACCAGTACAACTTTCCTTTACTCCTACCAATGACTTCCAATCATTTTTGTCTCGTCATTTAGGTATTAGAGATAAGGATGTATATCATGCCCTCCGTAATGATTCAATAGAACATATGTGGCATCTTCATGGTGAAAACTAAATTCACCACATCAATACATGTAATTTTGTTTATAGTTTTGGAATAGAAGGTTGTCTTGTTTGTACTCTTCATTATTTTATCAATATTAACCAAGTAATTGAGAAGTTATGTGATGATGTGCTGTTGTGATGATCTAATCTTTAATATTGAGAATTGTTCAGTATTTAATTCATGAGAATTACAAATGATAATAACCATGTCTTAATCAGTTACAAATAATAATACCACATAAATTTAAGTACCAAAGAATTACAAATGATAATAACCATGTCTTAGATATATCCACATAAATTTAGGTACCAAAGAATTACAAATGATAATAACCATGGCCTAATCAGTTACAAAATAATGAGAAAATGCTTACTGATGTTGTTGGAAGTCTTATATTAAAATGCTACTCTTATACTTAAATATTGAAAGATTCATGAATTTTGGAAATTTATTTATTTACAATTCATATTTATTGATGTGCCATAAGATTTTATTTAGTATACAAATTTATCGATGTGGCATACAAATTTATTCAGTACATATATTCAATACATATATGTATTGGTGTCCAATTTATTTGTCACTCCGATTTATTCAGTACATATACAGTTTGATATTCCTGTTGGAAAAAGTGGTTAATATAGGCATATTTTGGGCCGACTTTGAGCCCAAAATGGAGTAGGCCCCGAACGTCTTTTGGGGCAGGTCCGAAGAGGTGAAGTGTTCCTTGCCGCGTGGCAAGTCACACGGTGAAGACGGTTCATCAAAACTATTTATGAGTGAATGGGAACATGACGTCGTTTTCGGGTTCGTGGAATTGAACATTTAAGTTTTGAATGTGGGTTTCCTTGTGAGGCTTGTCCCACATTGAAACTTGAAGAGAGTTTTGTTGAGTTTATAAGCTCTAACCTACAATACTTGGGTTGGGCCCCAAGGGGCACCCCAAGTTTGTAGAAGGGGGAAGTTGTGGACAAAGTGAACCTTAGCCCAAACCACCACACACCCGCGCGCCGCCGTCCGGCCGAGCCGTGCCGGGTGTGAATCGGGTCGGTTCTTGTATTAATTTTTTGGACAAAATTCATTTGAATTTTTTCAAAATAATATTACAACTTCTGTCCAAAATTTCTCAACAAATTTAAACTAGTTTTCAATTATTTAACTTCCAGAAATTGCCCAACAGTTCCGGGTATAACTGTCCAGCAGTTTATCTGTTGAAACAGTTGGCAAATCTATTTGAATTCAAACAGCAGCTGTTCAATTCAAATACCCATCTATTCAGTTCAGAACTCTGCACCTGTTCGGCTCTATATAAACTAGGACTGTCCAGCATGTTTTCCAATCCGAAAATCAGTCTGAATTTGGTCTCTTTGTTGTTCATTTTGCTCTATTGCATTTACTCTTCATTTATTAGTTTTACAATAATATTAAGAGAGTATAGAACACAAGGTTTGGTTTGTCGTAAAAATTTGTGTGGAGTGTTACTACAAGTTTTTGAAGATCATTGTATTCTGGGAGATAGACGCCACTCAACCGTAAGCACCGTAGCGGGGCGAATCTGTCTTAAGGACAAAGTGTCACACACTCAACTGGGTCTTTTATTCTTTATTCGGTTCGATAAATAAATTTGGTATGTTATTTATTTATTTTCTTTGAATTGGTTTCAATTTATTTTATTTACATAGAAGATTGTTCCAACAATCTTAAGACAGATTCGAATTATTCTGTTTACAAAATTTTTAGTTTGTTTCCTTTTCTCTTTCTTCTTTTAAGAAAATTATTTTCTGTGGATTTACAAAATAATATTCTGGTTGGAAAAACAAATAGTGATTATATGCTATTTGACAGATAGTAGTAATATACTGTCTCTTTTCTTTGACAACTAGTAGTATGATACTGGTGTCATTAACAATTCAGAATATATTTTTGTGGAATTTTTTCAGAAATTAATTTTGGTTTTTAGAAATTATTTTTCTGAGTGTTCATTAATTAAAATTCTGTTTCAGTATTTTAATTATTGAAGTGTTACAGAAATTGATTTTCTGTGTGGAATTAATTTGGTTAAATAAAATTTTATTTTATTTTATTTCCAAATTAATTGAAAAATGAAAGTTACATTCTTGTTTCTTTTATTTTTATAGAATTTAATTCTGTGAATTTGGATTAGTTTTCTGTGTGGAATTAATTTGGTTAAATAAAATTTTGTATTATTTTATTTCCAAATTAATTGAAAATAAAAGTTACATTTTGATTTGTTTCTTTTATTTTAACAGAATTTATTTCTGTAGCTTTGGTTTAATTTGTTTGAATAAAATTTTATTTTATTTTCAAATTAATTGAAAATAAAAGTTACAATTCTTGTTTCTTTTATTTTTCCAGAATTTAAAATTCTGTGTTTTTTAGTTTAAATTTTCTGTGTAGTATAAAATTCTAATTATAATTTTATTTTATAATTTAGAATTTATGGCTACTAGAACTGATCAAACTAATGTTCTAACTAGTACTGGTATGGTGATTGCCATTGTGCCAACCTCTCCTTATGTTGGGACTGTGCCGGTGAATAATGGTGAAAAGCCAAAGAAGTTCTTAAGAACTGATTTTTGCAAAGGCAAAGGAAGAACAAGTAAGAAGGTTACTAAAGCCGATATAACCGAAATGGATATAATTTCCAATGGTGTAGATGTCATAAATCTTTCTGTAGTTGTTTCCGAGGTAAATCTTGTCGGAAATCCTAAAGAATGGTGGGTGGACACTGGTGCTACTCGCCATATTTGCGTCGACAAAAAGATGTTCACATCTTATTCTTCAGTAGACAATGGTGAATAACTTTTTGTGGGAAACTCCTCAACTTCCAAAGTTGAAGGACAGGGAAAGATTGTACTCATGATGACATCTGGAAAGGAACTCACTCTCAACAATGTGCTGCATGTACCGGACATTCGCAAGAATCTTGTTTCCGGATCTCTGTTGAGTAAGAATAGGTTTAGGCTAGTATTTGAGAGTGATAAATTTGTACTTACAAAGAATGAGATGTATGTTGGAAAAAGGTTAAATGTCTGATGGCATTTTCAAGTTAAATGTAATGACCGTTGTACCCTCAGTTATTAATAATACTACATCTTCTTCTTATTTGCTTGAGTCTTCAAATTTATGGCATGGTAGACTAGGACATGTTAATTATGGATCTTTGCGTAGATTAATTAATATGAAATGTTTACCTAAATTTAATATTGATTCAAATCATAAATATGAAATTTGCGTTGAGGCAAAATTATCTAAAACTCCTTTTCATTCAATTGAAAGAAGTATGAAACCACTTGAATTAATTCATAGTGACATTTGTGATTTTCAATCAATTCAAACTAGAGGTGGGAAAAAGTATTTTATCACTTTTATAGATGACCATACTAGATATAGTTATGTTTATTTAATTCGAACCAAGGATGAAACTTTGGAAACTTTCATTCAATATAAGAATGAAGTTGAAAATCAACTTGGTAAGAAAATCAAGAAACTTAGAAGTGATAGAGGTGGTGAATATGAATCACCTTTTGGTGAATTTTGTAAAGAACATGAAATAATTCATCAAACCACCGCTCCTTACTCACCTCAGCAAAATGGAAATGATGTGCACCCAAAAGTTATATATAACTAAAAGGAACTGGTTCCTCTCCAGTCCGTTATCGGACTAGACAGTATTGTTTAGCTATAGTGGGTCCTATGTTAGACTTATCTTGATGATCTAAACCGTTCAATGTATAGAACTCAGTGAGTACATCATCCTTATTTAAAATCATGTTGATTGGATATTGATAGACATTTCATTATATTACATTTCCGTCAACGACAAGTATAATTTTCAAAATAAATTGTTATAGAAATGTGATCTGATCAAATGGTCATTGATATCCGATCACCTTAGAATTCTGAATTCAGAACAAGAGTTGGATAATGAGGAAGAGGAACTTAGGCGTAGTAAACGTGCTAGAACCTCAAAATCTTTTGGTCCAGATTTTCTAACATATTTGTTAGAAAATGAGCCTTTAACTTTTAAAGAGGTTTTGTCCAGTCCTGAAGCTCCTTTATTGTCAATAGTGAAGTTGAATCCATCTTGCAAAATCACACTTGGAAATTAGTGGACTTGCCACCAGGCTGTAAACCTTTTGGGTACAAGTGGATTTTCAAAAGGAAAATGAAAGCGAATGGATCAATTGACAAATATAAGGCAAGACTTGTGGTCAAAGGTTTTAGACAAAAAGAAGGTCTTGATTACTTTGACACATACTCACCGGTTACTAGAATAACATCTATTAGAATTCTAATTTCCATTGCATCTCTATACAATCAAGAAATTCATCAAATAAATGTGAAAACCGCTTTCTTAAATGGTGAGTTAAATGAAGAAATTTACATGGAACAACCAGAAGGTTTTTTTGTTCCAGGGAAAGAAAAGAAAGTGTGTAAATTGGTTAAATCATTTTGTGGTTTAAAACAAGCGCCAAAGCAATGGCATGAGAAATTTGACAAAGCAATGATGTCAAATGGATTTAAAATTAACGAGTGTGACAAATGTGTTTATATTAAAAACACAGACAAAGGTTATGTCAT